CAAACTATTTGTTCTTGTTTTTTATTTCGAATATTTTTTATTAACCGAAATACAAAGATTTAACACACGAGAAGCAATTTATTTTTGTGGATTACTATGAGTCAGCAGTACAGTGGAAATCATGAAAAGAATGTAAGTCGCTACAATTGGTTTATTTGGGATCAAAATGTATAGTTTTAAAGTTTTGATTCGTGTTGGTGAAATGGCAACTTTCAGTAGTCGAACGTTTTTTATTCCTTTACGTTCCCAGGCTTCAGGCTAGAGGCTTGAAGTTTCGGTGGCAGTGGTGATTATTTTTACAGGATGGGGTTGCTAGCCGCCTCATGCTCAACCCAATCTTCCCTGTTCACCAGTCTTGTCACTGGCTTAGCGAGGTAAAGGAGTGTGTCGGTGGCCGGGGATCGAACCCCGGACCATATGAGGCGTGGTTGGCAAGCATTTTCTACCACTGTGCCGTCGATGCATGAAGTCGACCTTAGCCGATAAAAATGATCTGCCTGTTTTTGATGCTGTCCAGCATTAGGTTGTTTCGTCTAGTCCACTGAGTTAAACAGCTTTTTTCAAACTTAATAAGTAGTGAATCCAATTATTTAAAAGGACTTTAAAGGTAAAGCCATTACAGAAGTACTTGTTTAGGAAGTCCATCATCTCACTTAGTTCTAAAGTAACTTCTAAAAACGTCGTCTAACAAAAAGACAGTGAAAGCTTCACAATTAGACCTTCTAACTCAGAGAATACAACGACAACAGAAACATCCACCTAACTGATTAATCTTCCCTATTATTTCTGAAATTGACAAAGTAGTACAATCTCTTTGACATTACAATGTCGCAGATTATGTTCTATTCACTTGACGTTGCACGAACTCGTGTGGAATAAAATTTTGAAACATACTGCTCTATTAAGGCATTGTTATTTTCACTATGAAACACTGTGTCCCACAACTGATTTCTTGTGTGTAAGTAAAATTCGCCGATCTTAGAATTATCAATAACTGAATGTATGGTGAAGAATTATTATTACTATTAATCTGAATTGCGATCAAGATTTGACCGAATAATTCCAAAATAATTGGACACCGAGTGAGAAGTTGACATCTTTAAAAATTTATATTTGTAAAATCTCAGCGAGATGGAAATAAGTAATTCCAACGTTTCCTGCCTTCGTCGAAATCTAGTCCGAACTTCTTCACGGAAATTAATCGAAATTAACATAACGGAGGTGATTTATATGCATGAAAGGGGATATCTGTTGTTTTCAAAAACTATGTCCAATCATATGAGTCATGAAACAGGTATCAACATGTATAATCAACAGAAAATTGAATGAGTTGTGATCAAAATTTCACCTTAGACCTCTTATAAATATTGGTCTACCTTTCTTAAACACTTTAAACAGAGTGTGTGTGTGTGTGGGTAAATGGTTGTAAGACATTTCTTAATGTCTCCATAAGAAGATATAGACAATCGGGAATTTTGACCAAGTATTATTAATTAATTAGTGATACATATCCAATTTCTATTTATTTATTAATCAGGATTTCCTATGTATCATTAGCTAACACACATCACACCTTCATGTCCGTTCAAACTGTTAGTAGCTAGAATTTTATGATTAGATGTATTTTCAAAGTTATGGTGTCTAGGATTAGAGTTGTTAGCTGTCGAGTCACCTGGCAACTCCAGTAGGTCAAATAAAGCAGCTCAATTTTCAGAGAGAAGACAAAGCAATAAGTTCGACAGGGTGCTTCAACTAAACTCTAATCCTAAACACCATAACTTTGAAAATACATCTAATCATAAAATTCTAGCTACTAACAGTTTGAACAGACATGAAGGTGTGATGTGTGTTAGCTAATGATACATAGGAAATCCTGATTAATAAATAAATAGAAATTGGATATGTATCACTAATTAATTAATAATACTTGGTCAAAATTCCCGATTGTCTATATCTTCTTATGGAGACATTAAGAAATGTCTTACAACCATTTACCCACACACACACACACTCTGTTTAAAGTGTTTAAGAAAGGTAGACCAATATTTATAAGAGGTCTAAGGTGAAATTTTGATCACAACTCATTCAATTTTCTGTTGATTATACATGTTGATACCTGTTTCTTGACTCATATGATTGGAAATAGTTTTTGAAAACAACAGATGTCCCCCTTTCATGTATATAAATCACCTCTGTTATGTTAATTTCGATTAATTTCCGTGAAGAAGTTCGGACTAGATTTCGATGAAGGCAGGAAACGTTGGAATTACTTATTTCCATCTCGCTGAGATTTTACAAATTATTACTCTGATTTTATTAGGTAGGAACTATGCTACTATTTTTTAATTCATATGAAATACAAAAATCACTGTTATAGAACTTCAGTGTCAAGTGTTTTGCATTTACATATAAGAAAGTTAATACATTTACAGGTGAGTACATATATCAACAAGATCAATAGGCTAACAGATTGGATGGCATTCCATACTTGATATCTAGTGTACTACATCTGACGTTTGTGTAGTTTGATTCTTATTTTTACAAAATGTACACTTGACAGAAAAACAAGTTTTGCCTCTGTTTCACAGTTAACGTGACTCTTTTTGTGTCACTAAACTGACAAAACTAGGCCAATAACACTCTACTGCAAAAATGAGTTTCTTACAGCAGCAATATGGGTTCATTAACCAGAAACAATGAAGCTGTACTAAATAGCTGAGCTTGGTGAAAAATTTGTGACATAAAGCTGTTATATTTTCAAAAAGGATGGATTTTAATTCTTTGGATAACTTAGGCCATCTTTATTTTTTAAGGGAAAACAAGAAATAAGCGCGTTTTCTCTCTCTCTATGTGGTGTTTTTCTGCAGCACGCTTTAGTCAAAAAAACCTTAACAAAATATCCTGCAACAAATCAAGCTTGTATTTCTGGGCCTTATTATTCACTTTGTTTGCCCAATAGAGTTTGACACCTTAACTTGTCTGGCAACTCAGTAATAATAATAATAATTTTTGCTTTATTCCAAAAACAGTACTAATGATACAGTAAGGAATTTTCAGCATTCAGTACAATATTGCATCTAATTTACTCAATACGACAAAAAATAAACATGACATAATAATAATAATAACAAAACGTTGTTATAGCAGCTATGTAGCAAATTACAGTATGCAATAAGGAGGAAAATATGCAGAAATCATAAAATTGTAGTAATAATAGTACTAACAAGTAAAATAAAATAGCTAAGTTACAATTAAACGACAGAGAGAGGGTGACACCATAAAATGACAGAAAGATGAACAATGAAAAGATCGATTCATTTTGCTAAATACATAGTAACTTATATGTTTCATGTCTAACAGTGTCTTCATCAGATAAAATACGGGCTAAATAGGGTATTGTAGAATTTTTGTACTTAGTGGTGCGAGCATATAACTTAGTATGTTGACTTCTCGTCCTACCTGATGAGATGCAAGGGGATAGTTTTGTATAAAGGGGTGTAGGGGTCTGATAGTATGAACTAACTTCCCATTTTGTACAGGATTTTATATGTCTGTCGACTATAATAATAACAACAGAAAATACTCTGTTTTTAACAGAGCAATATATGAATTTAAAAAGTTGAATACTTCAAAATTAAAAAACAAGTATGCGCTGAAGATGTTTCCTAGTAAGACAGTGAAAGTTTCGCAGGTAAAGCATCCAGCTCAGAGAACACAACTACATCACGATTATTATTATTACATTCTTTAATTCCTAGAGGAGCATACGGCTTCAGCCGCCAAAGTTTCCATTGCCTTCTGTTTTCTGACAACGTTTTCACTCCACTCCAAGTCTGCCCACATGCTTTCCTCTCCTCCTCACATGACCTCCGCCAAGTCACCCTCACCCATGCACTGACGACCAACTCGCCACCCACCAGCTTCCCTTTCTATTTTTTTTTTTTTTTTTATTTTATTTTTATTTTTGATTACAGCTTGATTCCACACCGTATTTTTGGTACAAGTGTGGAATTTTCAGCATGGATATCGGCCTGGTTCCACTCGAGCGATGGCTTGTCTAGTGATGTCACTCGCTTCATGGTTTCCTCAGAGTATGGCCAGCCAATCCATCTCCATTTCTTCCTGCCTATTTGTTTCACAATCGGTTCCTGCTGTGTTGGTTGGTTCGCTCACTGCCAGAGATCCCACCCTGTTGGTGAACTTTTCTGGTCGGCCATCTGATCTTGAGTGGTATTGAGTGAAGACAACTGTTAATGAAGGTCTGAAGTTTGTTTGAGATGCTCTTTATGGTGAGCAGTGTAAGTCTCTGATCCGTATGGTGAGTAGCACTGACTGGCTCCACATTGCAGTTGAAAATCCGGATCTTATTTTTGATGGTGACCAGTGAGTGATGTTGACCTCCACACAGACTTCAGAGTAATGAAAGCCTGTCTTGCTTTTCTGATTCTGGCTTTGATATCCTCGTCAGTTCCTTCCATTAATGCTAGCTGATTGTTGTCTTTTGTTGTTGTTGTTGTTGTTGGCCAAGAATCTTCATCACCTCTGTTTTATCTATGTTCACTTGAAGTCCTGTCTTTGATGCTTCTTTTACATAAAGAACTGGATGTAAAATGTTTTACTCATTTACAGAAATTCGTAACTTTGAACTAAAAAGCTGAGGTTATTTATTTCTGTCATCTAAGAGCACTTATTTTTTATGACATGATTATACACCTTCTTCGGAAACATGAATTCTATTTGATACATACGAAAAAGGAGGCAATTGATACGACTTCGACATGTGACTGTATATTTTATTGCTTAATTAAACACATTCCGATTCTCTAATAGTTATCATTCCACATTCCCCATACGAGATGAGTTTTGCAATTCCCTCATTAGTATCCAAATATTCATGCTTCCCGCATTTCTCTTAGAATGTCTTATGAATTTTGTTTTACCCTAAAGCCTTGGACTTAAATCATTTTATCTTTGGATAGAGACCTCATTCTGTGGAAATAATGGGAAATTTAGACCTTGAAGACTCATTAATTGATCCGTTTCTGGAACTTGCACCGTTTTCCGCGCGTTCTGAGAGACCACATAATGAAATTCTTACCACAGATTTGAATCCAAAGACAGGACCTCAACAAACGGTTAAACAAGTACCCATATCAATACATAATTTAAAGGCACACTTACCATTTTTGGCTACGCATTTACAAGAAGCTCTGGCTGAATCTGTCTCCTCAGAGAATTCAAATCAGGTATGTTTTTAAAAGTTTCCTATAATACATAAACATTTATATTTAATTCATAAAGTTTAAGAGAACTATAAACGGTACCCTGGTCTTGTACAATAATAAACATTGGTCACTCAAGAGAAATAAAAACTTTCAAACCTACGGGTAATTTAACAATGATTAGTCAAACCGAATGAACACAATTAAAACTCTCAGTAGATCTTGAAAATTCTCTTCTCTTGGAAAGCGACTTATTATTATTATTCTCTTGGATTCATAGTAGAACATAGGGCTTCAGGGGCACATCTTCACTTTGTCCTTTTCTCTGCGGTCCTCCTAAGCTGGCCCAAATATTCCGCATTGTCGATCATCTCCTCCTCTCACGGCTTCCTCCCTGTCATCCTCGAACCCATGCCCGGATGTCGTTTCCCACTCGAGTTCAACTCGAGCGATAGCCTGATTCGTGTGTCACTCAATTGTCTCCTTCATTTTCATTGTGTTCCAAATATTTGTCGAGTAATAGTCTTTTCGTTAGTTCGTTCTTAGGATTATTTGTTTGTCATTCTTTCTGATGGCCACCTAATCTAGAGTATGGATTTGGCGAAGACAGATGTCTGAAACCTGCTGAAAATGATTATTGTGACATTAACGCCAAGTTTCTGACCCATATCGAACGAATGTCTGACTTAACATTAGTGCTAGAAATCCTAATCTTGTCCTATATCCTGAGTACAGACGATTTCCAAACTGATCTTAAAGTGAAAGTGATGAAAGTCCATCTTGCCTTTCCCGTTTTGGGTCTTGACATCTTCATGCTTTCTTCTAGCCTGTAGTTGAAATAATGCCTCCCAGGTTAAGCAAGTTAAGCAAGTGACGTCTTTCAAATCTCTTCTGTTGATACTGACTGATTGTTGTTATTGGTTGGTTATCATATCGCTGTTTCTGACACAGTTTCATCACGAAATTACCTCAATTCACTAAGATGCTGTGTTGGAATCGGTTTAACTTTTGTGACAGTACATCACTTTAAGTAAGTAAGTCCAGAGAAAGAAATAAGTAGCTAGACCCAGGTAGCTAAGTGTGTGCGTGTCAGAATATTCATATTAATTAACCATGTAGCACCAGAAAAGAAACAGCACCTATGGAAGCCGAACTATCCGACAAAATGCTCATCTCAGTATGTTTTCTTGTCGGCATACTAATCTGCAGCCTTTTCATTTATTACGAAGTTGTATAGCAGATCGTGTTTAAGTTGAAGTTGATTATTCTACGCGGTAAAATAGATCCGAAATTCTTTAATATACAACTCACATTAGATTTATGCAAATGAATTCAACAGTTGTCCTGAAGAAAGTTAAGTATATGACTGTGTTTTTCACTGTGTTGTTTTTTCACTCTTCCTTGAAGCTTGTTAAGAGATGTTGACTGTTGTACCCGAGTATTATATTTAACCGTTGAACATTATCACCCGGGTACACTAATCCTCTTAGAAACGAAGATAGTCTTAGCATAGTTAAAATGAACCAGGTGACGGAAGTATATAGATGCATTGCAGTGGAAAGTAAGCTGAGAATGTCCATATTGATCCTTCGGTAGACTTGCTCTTCAAAATACAAATTTTATACCGACATCCAGCAAAATCTGCCAGATATTGAACAGTACTTAAGAAAATGATTGTTTAAAAATTACTACTACTACTACAACGAATTCAGATTTATTGATTGGGCTTTAAAGTATAAAGTATAAAGGATGCTCAGGCAGTTGCTCCATTAAACGTTCCTGATGACTACTTAAAATGATACACCTGTTTAGTGTATGAGATGCTTAATAGATCATAATGATATCTGAATGATTAGTGCTCTGTCAGATAAAAATTGACTTATTTTAGAAGTCGAGTCTGCAATGTTAATTTAACCAGAGGTGTTGTCAAAGTTAGCTAATTGCTTCTCACTGAAGTGGACTTTCACTGGAATCTGCTATTTTTTTACTATGAGGTAAACAGCTTTGAAATGTAGAAATACTTATAGTCCTTAAATGTTATACCACACTTTTGTTTAGAAAACTAAATTAAGTGAGTCACAATTCTGCCAAACTTGATACAGTCTTTTTCAAATATATAGAACTCCATTTGAAGTTGATTTACACTAGCCACTCTGACTAGCGTCCAATCAAAAATATCCAGTACAATCCCACAGGAGGTCAATCGTCACCCCGAATAGCCCAGTGGTAACGTCTCTGACTGTTGTCTGGTAGTACTGGGTGACGCGGGTTTGAATCTCAGTAGGGACATGAGTTTCTTTAAGGTTGTAGATACCCCTTGCTGACTGGTGAATGCCAACTAGCACAAAAACTAGGTCAGGTGGGCCTTCCTGTGGACTGCCTCCAACCACCACCTAATATCACAATCGGAAAACCATGAACTATGGGACTGTAGAGCTATTTCAAGAACTGGCAAAAACTGCAATTTATAGGTCAATGAACTCGAATGCTAATACGTTCACATAATAGTATGAAGATTTTGGGTTCCATATTCTGTAGATTCACATTACTGAAGCGTCAAAAATTAGAAAAAAGTGGTTACCCAGTGACTCCTGGTTTTCACTAGTTCCTTAACTAATGTCTAATCATGGCAAAATGTATTTGGAAACCAAATGAATTTCAGTCGATTAGTCTTCTGATATCTTGTCTTCCAGTCGTGAATCATAAGTTGTTCTTACTAGTGATGAAGCAGTCTGTGGTAGTTTGTAGCACTGAAAAATGAAGCAGACGATTAGGCGTTCCAGGAAGCATATAAGAGCGCTTTTGTGTTTGTGCCATATTTAAAACGGTAATCTACTTCTTGAAAGGTTTGCAGAGCGGGTATTTCTGAATATTTTGCTGTCGAAATGGTGTGGAGTTGAATATTACAAAGTGAACACTTGAATAGTTTGGAAAGTACTTACTCCATTATTTAACTGTAGCATAAAGAACAAAGCAGATTTATGCAATATCTAATACAAGAATTTTGTGCCATAGCTATTGGTATACCTAGTTTTGTTTCATGACACCATGTGCGTCGGTGGCACAGTGGTTAGGACTCTCGCCGACCATGCACATGGTCCGGGGTTCGAGCCCACGCCGACGCACACCTGATATCTATGGTTGGCCTGCGAATTTTGGGCTACCGATATCCATGCTGAAAATTCCACACTTGTACCAAAAATACGGTATGGAATCAAGCTGTAATCAAAAATAAAAAAATAAAAAATAAATAAATGGAAGACCCAAATTGCAGCAGACTGTTCACAAACAATGAAAGTAAAGTTCAGTGCTTTCAAGAGACGATAAGGTCTTGAAAGGACGGCACACACACACACACACTAGATTTGAACTATTCTGGTATTCTCTATGACATCTGTATGACGTTCTTTGAGTTCTGGTGTTGAATGAAACTATTTTTAAGAGTGATTCTAATGTTCTTTTTAAAATAGGCTAGTTAAAATTAGGATAACCATTCTGTTTAGCATTGGAATTATTCTTCTATACACAATAAATTATACTGTTGAGAAGCGTCAGTAAATCTCTGAGGAAAAACTTTTTAGAGAAGTGAATCAGTTCCAGTTTCCACACTTAGATGAGCTATACAGTTAATAAATAACAAATAATTTTTCCTTCACATTCCCAGTGGAATATACGGCTTCAAACTAGTGACTTGAAGTTTCCGTAGCAGTGTTTATTTTTACAGGATGGCGTTGCTAGCCTCATACCCAACCTTTCCTCTTTACCAGCATATTTTCTGGCTTAGCGAGGTAAAGGAGTGCGTCAGTGGCCGAGGATCGAACCCTGGGCCATGTGCATGATCGGCGAGCGTCCTAACCTCTATGCCACTGACGGCATAGGAAGAAGTGGTTGGTAATCAAAACCAAATTATAATCTATGCATCTGAATGAACCAAAGCTAACGATTTCACCATATCTATTGTCTGTCGTATCTTAACACTGTGCTAACCTAATTATACAACTTGAACAATTATGCGAAGACTGCCAGCTAACTCCATCATGCCTTCCATGCATATCTCACCGTCGGTTAAGTAAAAGACAGCATTTATGGCAGGCCCAAGTTCTAAAAAGCCAGATGTCTTACCTGCAATCTGGCATATATGAGGTATTCATGGCTTACTGAATCAGTTTTTATTGTTACCAATCAATCATTCTGTCTTCACTGGCATAACTTTGCGTGTAAGCGAAACTTTCATAGCGATCGTTTAATCTGCTTCGCGTTTTTTCGGTTCATGGATTCTAGTGACCAGCTGTGAAGCATGTTTTTACACTTTGTAGTGTTAAAGAATTTGCAGTTCTTCATGAATTTTTTCATTGTTTCGAGTTCAGTTTACCATGTGAAACTATGGAAAAATGTCAAATTTTCGAAAAAACCAAAAACTTGCCCAATAGGTGGATTATAAACAGTGTTTATTAAGTAGCCTACAGTTAGTTATACAGCTAAACAAATACTTCTGATGCAGGATGATTATTTCGATGTATATTGTAATCCGCCTTCAAACTAACTCATCATGAGATATTAATTATTATGGCAAATTATTCTGTACTCCACCACATGATTCAATTAAGTACAAAACAAAAAGCCTAAGGCGACTGACTTCATCGTAATGCACAGGATCACTTGTTTGCGATATATTACTTTCAATTAAAGTGACTGAAACATAAAATTAAGTATTATTTGATAAGGGATCATATGCTATTTTTTTTTCACGCAATCATCTGATGCTTGACGTTTCTAAAACAAATATGTGTATATTATATATGTCCAAACCAAGTTCACTTTTAACGGTTTGAAAAAATTTGGGCATTGGGTATTTGATATTCATTATAATAGAGGTTTTTGTATTTCTCAATGAATAAAAACAATATCGTTTTGTTTTTCATTCATTTGGAAGTACAAAAATCTTTATTATAATAAACATATGTATATGTTGCACTATATATATTAGTAATCATTGTTGACCTCATTGTAAAGAACAAACTTCT